AGAGAGAGAGAGAGAGAGAGAGACAGAGAGAGAGGCGTATATAACGGGGCAGAGACGAGAGCCAAAAAGGACCGGAAGAAATTAAGAGCGCAGCACTCTCGAGAGGAAGAGTCAAGCTCGCGGAAAAATTCTTTTCTCCGGCGCCTCTTTTTTTCAAATTCGACCCGCCTTTCATTCGCGCCACTCTTTTCACGACCATTGACGCGCTGTTCCCCTTCATCCACCCTCCTTCTATCAACCTGTATTCTCGCTCGACGAATGGAAAGTTAATTCATTAAAATCGCCAGCTACAACGTTTCTACAAACGGGTCTTTCTTTTGTCGTTTTCGCGTCAAATTAGCGAGGATTTCGCGCCGCCCTTCTTCCCTCGCGCGTTAGACAGAGGATCTTCCTGCTCGTCTTGATCGAGACCGTCTGTGATCTCTCCTTTCGAGAAGAATTACGACACGAGTATAACATTGGAGTATAGTAGACGATCTTCTCGTACAGTTTTTCCCTGCAACCAACGCCAAGCCTGTGGTTCTCTTCTCGAGGGATATTCCGATTTTTGAAGGAAGTTGGAGACGTTTCTCTTTCCTTTGATTTCTATTCTCGAGGAAAATTACGACTTTAGAGAATGTTAGACTGGTACGATCTTCTTCCGTTTAACCTTTTCAATTGATTTTTCAAAGCGAATTACAACGAAGAAGATCAGTGTCGAAATACATACAGAGTCGCCTGTTCTCGAGGAAAGAAACAACTACTCTGGCACGATTTAACTTTGGTGCTTCCGAGCAAGGAACGCCAATCAACCCTCTCCTCGTTGGTTATTTAACTGGAATATTTAAAGGCGACCGCGTTGTTGAACTCGCTCTTACGAAAGACTGCGACACATGCGTTCGCGAGACATTGAGAATGCCGCGGAATTGCGATTTAATGAACAGTCGGTTCACCGACGAGCCGGTAATTCTATAAACCTGTGCATCTTCTCTTATTTCACTCGCGAAATATAATACAACATGTATTGCCCCAATAGAATTTTTACTCGGTGAACTCTGGAGAATTGCGCAAACAACTTCGTTGATTCGTTTCTATGGATCGAAGTAAATGAGAGTGACTGAATGTCAAAGTAGTTTAGATCTTCAGTTTCTCCGATCCGTTTCATTTAATAAATCCTCCTTCTCTCACATCTTTCAAGAAACGTGGCGTACTCAACTTGGTCATTCGTCATTAACTCTCACTTTTTCCCTCTCTATCGTGCATATTATTCGTTAAATAAATATTAAATATATAAATATTTATACTATTTAAGTACTTGGTTAAACATAATTATTTACTGCTTACAGTAATTTTTATTATGTATCTATTCAAAGGGCTTTCATCGCCTGTGAATAAATAGAATGAAGCTAGGATATAGCTCGTGAAAGACTCGAAAGGCTAGCTGTTGGACACAGTGCTGCAAGTTGCAAGTTTAAAGTGTCATTGCACGTAAGCCGATTATTAAAAGCTATTGCCCGTGGAGCAACGTTGAAACGTGCTAGAACGTAATCATTTTCTAACTCGATGGTGAATTTTTCCTTCTCGTCTTGCGACACTCTGAAATAGTCAATCTCAGCAAACAATATTCAACTATACTCGTATATACATCTACGTAACTTGGTTCATTCGAAACACCTCAAACGAAATAACAAGTCACACCCGCTAATTGCTATCAGTTCCCTGATTCCTACAAGACTAATCTACAAGACCCGTAACGAATCGTAATCCCTTCTCTCTCGTAACCAAACGTGCAATCCAGATTACAGGCAGTGTTTGGAAAAGTTTCGTCGCGATAACAAGCGAGCAAGCAAGCTGGCGTTTGAACGACCTCCTCGAAACTAGATCAAAAATTCCTGTGTAATATACGTAGCAAGCGAGGCTGATATTAGTAAACGCAGCTCGGTGTCACGACAGTTTGATCCACTCCAATTACGCAACGCTCGAACGATAGTAATACAGCCAGCGAACGTCTGGACGCGCGTTTACGCGATTCGGGTAAAAACTCTGGCATACTAAGTGGAAATAGATCATATATAATGATCAGAGAGGAAAAAGTTGCTGCGGTTTCTTAGAATAGGAATTTATCTTCCGAGTGATGTAAAAGTGAGTGACGTAGCTTTACAATCTCTACGACTTTTTCTTATCAAATACACATTGCAAGTACGTAAATTCCACGGTTCTCCATGAAAAACTGATAATCGTCCATTGACGTACATTTGTGCCACACCAATGGACCAAGATCAGCCAATCAGCGTAAGTCATTTTTCATTAAAAATAACTCGTGCCACACAAGCAACGAGCTTCTCCTCTCCTCCCAGTCAGTGGAACGGTTTGGTCGTTAATCGCGATAATTACGTCACAACGACCAAACTGTTCCGTCGACCGACGATTTTAACGGTAAAGGAACATTTGCGTGGCACGAGTTGTTTTTAACGAAAAGTTAACGCACTGATTGGCTCCTCAGGCCTAACTACTTCACGTGCCACGTGCATAAACGCGTTCAATCTCAACTTTTAAAGTTGTAAAGAATTACAAGTCTCTAAGTCCAAAAATCGCAACCGGGTTTCTCTGTCGGTTAACCCGATATTTCCCCTAGAATCGAAACGTAAAATCGAAGGATTTTATTGTGTAGTGTAACGATCAATTCCAGTTTGAGTTGCACGTTGGAGAACAACTATGAATTTAATGCGCGTCAGGCTGCGCCCGAGCAATCGAGAAGTACAGCGCGACTGTGTAATCGCGTTCGCGTTCCCCGAAGGGCAAAGTGTTTAACTTGCAGCGGCGTGTGTGTGTGTGTGTGTGTATGTGTGTGTGTGTGTGTCGAGCGTGTGCCAGCACAGTCCACGCGTGTCGCGTGCTCTCGCACAACACGGAATCCCGTCTCGGCGAGGAAGTTGCGCGGCACTTGCTCCGAGTTCCGAGCATACGAGCAAACGGAAGAACGATCTGGCGCACGCGTTTTCAAATACAAATCAAAATCAGCCGATCGAATCGGACAAAGATTCTTTTGCTGCGTCCTTGAAATCGCGTTCGTTTCCCCGATTTCTTTCTTCGTTCCGTAACTGACGCTTGGCTCAGACGATTCGGAGCAGTTGAATTGTCTTCAACTTTTAGTTGAGTTTCATTGAAGTTTACTGCCAATCTCTCTCTGTCTCTCGCGGAGAATAGAAAATAAAATCGAATCTAGTTAATTGCTAAAATCAATCTACGATCCAACGACGCTGCTCGAGAGTTGCAGAAAAAGGGAAAGAAACGAAAATGCACGGACGTTCGAAGAT